TTGGCTCGAAGTTACATATATTTAGTGACAAACAACAAGGCCCATTAGGCTGGTATCCCTTAGGTATTCAATTTTCTCGTAGATTCAATTTAAAGTAGTTCACCCAAAGACTTCAAGAGGCACAGTTCAAAAAATGTCAGTGCTCCGCTTTAACCTGACAAATATCTTAGCCGTGCTGCTCTTGGCAAGCTTCAGCAGCGCTGAACTACACGGAGACGACGAGCAGGACATCGAGATGGATCCTTCTCCGGAGCCCATCGATGGACGTTCGTTTTTCTTTCTAGGCACACTCTTTCGACGTTGGCGCAATCGCTGGATGGCCTATCACAGTTCTGATCCTCTGTTTGCCGGTGCTGCCTACCCAATCAACGGCTACTACAATTGCCCCATCTATGGCTGCAATCCAGCGGCCATTGGACCTCAGCCTGGTTACTATTCTCGTCCAGGCAGCTTCTATCCGCTGACCCAACAGCAACAGCAGGCTCAGGGCAACAGCAATGTCTACATATATCAGACCGATCAGAACACTGCTACTTCTGGGACTGGTGCACCTGCCGTTCCCCTTGGATACGGATACTTTGGGGCTGGATCGCCGCATCGACCCGGGCAAGCTCCAATTCCACCTATTTTGCCACCTTTGTCAGCGGGAGGGAGTTCAGCGGGTGCCGGGAGCTATGGCCTTGGCCCAGGACAAGGGCCAGGACCTGGACCCATACCAATCCCACAATTTGGCTAAGCAGCAACGGAAGCAACTACACAGAACGGTTGCCCAAGTAAACAACGCAGACAAAGTAAAAGAAAACAATACAATTTTAATTGAAAAGTGTAGAACCAACGAAAAAAGTAATCCCATTCGGTTGGCACGCCTCAGGGATGCCCAATCTAAGTCCTTTCTCTGTTATAACTTATTGAAATCATCTCCACGGAATCAATAGAGTAGTAAATTTTGCACATTTTTGTTAGAGTAAAATACCGTCCATCAATTAAGATAAATAAAGTAAATGAAATCCATCTTGTTTGCCTCTGAAACTAGATTCCACAGTAACGAGAGCAGTGCTATGCTCGCTTGAAAGTCCACAAAAAGGGTTACATTACATCCCCACACACACATATGAACATTTTATCCATTAACGCCAAGTGAAAAACTCTACAAGCAATCTGCATAAACAAACTCACCATCAACATATACTTCACCCACACCACACCCAAGAGCATCAGCAGAAGGAGCAGCCGTAGTCTCGTCTGAATACTCCAGCATTTGTTTTGATTCCATCATAAACCATAAGATAGCTGCAGACATGGATGCCTGATGAAGTGGTTGCAAGTTGCGCAAGGAGCAGGCATCAGTCGGCAGTCGGGGGCAACGGCAACGAGCTTGCTTGCCTCAATTGTTTGGCAAATAAATGCCCGGCAGCATAATGGATGGCCGTGGTCAGCTCCATGTTCTGTGTGGCAGCAGCAGCAGTCCGTTTCGGTTATTATTTTTATATAACTTGTGAAAATAATAATAGAGCTTTGCCCAGAGGCGTGGCAGCCGGACCAGAGACGGAACAAACAAACAAATACTCCAAGCGGACGACAGTTGTATAAACAGAAGTGTGAAAGTGGAGATAGTGAAGAGATCTGGGATCGCAGATTGGCACAGCGTGGCATCCACACATACTTGTACGAATGTTAAGGCCTAGACGTTGACTCCTGCTCATCCCAATCCCCGTTCCGGTCTTCATATGCAATTGTGCCGAAGTTTATTTATGTTTGTGCTTTGTCAACAATGAACAGCAGAGAGAGGTCCGAACTCCAGTGCCAGGTGTTGATGCTGTCTCTGTTTTTGTTTTCTTTAGAACAACTTTCGCTGACCGGAAACGGAAATTAAATGCACAAGTTTTTGCCACCAGCCAGCATCGTTCATTCCTACTTCTTATCTAACTGAAAACATAAATGACAAGGCCACCTTGATTAAGTTTTTTTTGGCAAATTAAGTTTCGACAGCCCAACTGAACAAATGACTCACAAGTACAATACTGCACACTCACGTCCACAACGGGGATGTAGCTCAGATGGTAGAGCGCTCGCTTAGCATGTGAGAGGTACGGGGATCGATGCCCCGCATCTCCAATTGTCAGTGCATACAATGTATATGTCACTTTTTTTTCTTCACTTTATTTTAATGGTTTTAAAAAATAGTCTAAATATTTTTGCACAAAATATTTGTTGGTAGTTTTTGCAAAAGTTTGGCAGGGCTCAACCGGGATTTGAACCCGGGACCTCTCGCACCCAAAGCGAGAATCATACCCCTAGACCATTGAGCCTCATACCGTTTCTCGAGCCCCATGATATTTTTGTCGCCGTCCCCGCAAAACTCTTGCGTCGACAGTAAATACATTAGAGGTTTCAGTAAAATTAATTATAGCTTTATTTGAAATGCCTTAAATAACAAAATTAAGTTAGCGTCTCTTCCAGATACCGCCGCCATAACCGCCGCCACCAAAACCACTGGAAAAGGAGCCAGCTGAGCTGTAGGCCGATGAATAGCTTCCGGCATATCCGAGTCCCTGGCCCAGGCCGCCAAAGCCGCCCAATCCACCTTTCCATCCGTGCTTGAAGGGAACAGGCTGTGGCACCAGAACTGGATAAGGCTGTGGGACCGCAACAGGGACAGGTATAGGCTGGGGCACAGGGACGGGCTGGGCCACAGGGTAGGGTACATAGTTGGTGTACACCGGGGCGTATCCGCCTCCTCCGATCTTTCCACCAAAACCATGCGAGTGACCAAGGCCCAAGCACAACAGCAGCGATAAGCCCAAGATTGTAACCTGAAAGGAAGAAGTTGTTAAAAATCCAAGTTTGCAATGTGTGACAGTGGGACACTTACTGTGCGTGTGATTCCCATGTTGTCGATTGATGATTCTAAGCCTCGCCAACGTCTGAACTGCCGTATATATAGGCAACCCAAAGCCACTTCCTGTACTTCCTTTTGGGTGACGAGTTCAAAGAACTGACACAAACTTGATCCACAACCAGTTCTTGTCGCACAGAACCCATCAATTTTTATTGTGCCAAAAGTTAGTCGCGGCAACTAACGCAAAAATATAACAAATCGTGAGAAAAACATTGAAATCGGTTAGGTTGACGACGGGGTTGAAGGTCGCCCGTGCCGTGTTCCGGGACTGGGCTTTTGGGTGGGCGTAAGTTAACTCATTGATGCTAGTATAAAAACTGAACTGTTCGTTGGGTAGACAAGTCAGTCAAGTTCAAGACAAAACAGAAACATGGTGAAGATTAGCCGTTCGGTGAGTAGCTGTTGCCCATCCTAAGGATGCACAAATATTAACGGACATTATTTTCTTGGGCAGTTGGTGGTGCTGTTGTCGCTTTGTGCCTGCAGTTACGCTCAGTACCAGTATCCCCAGCAGCGACCTGGTGCGACCCAAGAAGCTGGATCTCAGCCCACTGGCGGACCTGTGGACAATCGTATTATACCTCTGGGTGGTCTGCTCGGTGGCGGTGGAGGAGGAGGAGGTCTGCTCGGAGGCGGCGGAGGAGGGGGCCTGTTTGGCAACCTGTTGGGTGGCCTCTTGGGCGGAAATAATGCTCGCCCACCACCACCGCCAGCATCGTACCCTGGATTTGGAGGCGGCTATCCTGGATATGGCGGGGGCTATCCTTCATATGGAGGCGGTTATCCTGGCGCATTTGGAGGCGGGTATACAGGTGGCTATCCAGGTGGGTTTGGAGGTGGTTATGGCAACCCCTATGGCGGCTACTACGGCTAAAAAGCGTTGTTGTTCGGTCTGCCATTGACTACTTCAAGTATTACCAGCAGTTAAAAATGTTTTTGAGATAGTTTTAAGTTGTTGACATTGTCCATTAATAGATTAAAAAGTGAACGTTAAAAACACTTCCGCCTTGTTTTGATTTTGTTTGTCCATGTCGCACACCATGGGGATGTAGCTCAGATGGTAGAGCGCTCGCTTAGCATGTGAGAGGTACGGGGATCGATGCCCCGCATCTCCAACTCCAACCAGAGCGGTTACTTTTTTATTTTATTTAATGGTACATATATTTAACTAACAATTCCGTTTTCAAAAGTAAGTTGCTGATATGTATGTAGTTCGTATTAAAATTTAATGGAATTTAAAAAAATCGAAGTTTTTCGTTCAATTTACAGTTTCTTTGCTTCGAATGTGGAAAACTGTAATCGGTGCATGACTCGGCAAGAGGCTCAATGGTCTAGGGGTATGATTCTCGCTTTGGGTGCGAGAGGTCCCGGGTTCAAATCCCGGTTGAGCCCGGCTAAGTTTTTTTAAATTTATTTTTTTATTTATTAATTTTTAATTAATTAAATTAATTTTTTTGCATCAGTAAAATAATAGCTCCAACCCAAAAAGGAAATACTTTTGACCAGTGAAATTTCAAAAAAGATTTGTTCTGTTTCCGCCCGGGTTCGAACCGGGGACCTTGTGCGTGTGAAGCACACGTGATAACCACTACACTACGGAAACCTCCTGACCTCCTGAAGTCAGTTGGCCATTTTGTACTTGAGCACTGCCCTGCAGCACAAGTTTCTTTGCTGGGGTTGCCAGAAAATTGTACCTTGACAATCTGCCGAATTCGGTCGTTTTCTGTTTAAAACTTTATAAAGATTCTTTTAGGCTGACCTCAATCTCTTGAGCAGACTGTCATGAATTAAACCTCAGAAACAATAGTAGTGGCAACATGACTTCACATATTTCCTTTATAAAAGGGCACTCTTCGAGTGCAGGGAATCAAAAGCTTGAGGCTGTTAAATAAACCATTAAAGTATTAAATAACAACAAAAGCCTTGCAAAATATGTGGTGGATTCTTTAATTTTCAATATTTAAAAAATAATGGTAAGAAATGTGCTTTTTACAACTGTACTTTGTATTTTCCCATCCTCAATCCAAAGGAGAGGGCTGTAAAAAAACGAATCATCGCCGGGAGAACCATAAAAAAGAAATAAACACAAATATAATAATTGTTCATTCCTATAGATAACTTTATTTTATGAATGGGAATATGAGTCTATAACTAAATAACAATTGGATGTGGATTCTAATGGCAAGTACATGATTTGTCTCTTATTCTATTGATCTATTGACATCTTTACTTTCCCCAGAGGCCACCGCCGAAGCCACCATCTCCGTAGCTTCCTCCGCTGCTGTGATGGCTTTCGTGATGACTTTCGTGAAATTCGTGGTGCTCGTAGCCACTGCTGTGTCCTCCGCCGTATCCTCCTCCATATCCACCACCGTATCCCCCACCATATCCCCCGCCGTACCCTCCGCCGATTCCGGCGCCTATGCTAGCTCCGATTCCACCACCGAATCCAAGTCCGCCTCCACCTCCGCCACCGCCACCGCCCAGAGCGTGCTTCAGGCCCAGCAGCTTGGGGGTGCGCACCTTGAGGCCCACAAAACCGGCGTGTGGTCCTTTAAAAGCCAACAGTTTTATCTTCCCAGCGGATGTTCCTTGCAGCAAAAACAGAAAGCATAATCCTAGCAGCAGGAGCAGATGCTGTTTATGGCACTGTTATCGAAAGAAAAGAAACCATTAGGAATTTCTATGTTTAATTTCTAATTTTAGTTTCCTATATTTTGTCACAATCACAATCCATCACTTACAATGATTTGCATTTTCACGTTTTATGCTTTTTAATTGATTAAATCTGTTTTTGGCCAAAGATCAGGGGCCTTTATTTGGAAATTACTTCGGCTAGTTGTAAAAACTGCGATTCAAGTTCAAATGTGTGGTGTGGGCCGATGGATGACGAGGCTAGAGTCTGTCTTGGCTGGGACGTGGACCACGACGCGTGTTCAATTGAAGCGGCTGCGAGGCAAGCGACGAGTTTTTATCTCTCCGACGCTTTTTCTGCGCGCGTCTCGAATCGCCCTTATGCAATCGGCCGCTGCCAAAGAGCTCTGGTCTGTCTTTTGTTGTTGCTGTTGCTGCTGTGAACTTCAGGCTGTAGCTTATATTTGCCTTATGCACACGATTTGCCCCTGAAAATTTCAGGTTTTTTGAGAGCAAACAACAACACAAATTTGGGCATGAGAAAAGAAATGAAAAGAAAAAAAACACTGAATGAACCAGCGAATGTCAATGGGAAACCTGCGATACAAGGTACGGCGGGGTATGTGCTAATTTAGAAGCATGAACCGAAATTTACTAAATGGGAAGGAAGTACATTTCAATAAACACAGAACGAAAAGAGAGCGAGGATCTTATCCAGCTTTTACTCTGCACATCCACACGAATGTAAAACCCAAAGGTTGGTAATAGAAAAACGAATGAATCATTTTGGGTATTTACGTTTTATTGACCTCCATCAAATTAAAAGCCAAATAAAGAAACCAAACAAAACACGCTTAGAGCCAGAAATTTCCAGCATTTAGTTAAAACAAATACGAGTATGCGTCTGTTTGCCCATCACTCATCGGCCATAGCCAAAGGGGTAGCCGCCGTATCCGCCATAGCCGGAGGATCCGTAGCTGTTTTGCTGATTACTAAACTGATTGTACTGCTGCCGGTAGCCCCCATATCCTCCATATCCGCCATAGGCCCCATATCCTCCATATCCCCCATAGGGCGAACCGAATCCTTGTTGGTATCCAGAACTGCTGCTCGCCGCAGCACTTGCACTTGCACTTGCCGAAGAGTAGCCGCCATAGCCCGAGTAGGGAGAAAACCCATAGCCAAATCCTGATCCTTGGCCCCACTGGGGGGCACTCAGCACTTGAAGGCACAGGCAGCACAGCACAAAGGACAGCGTAAAATACTAAAAGAGAGCAAGTATTAGTGGCACAGTTGGAGCGACTAAATCGTTGTGTACACCCACCTTCATGGTTGGCAAACAACTCAATGGCGTCTGATTAAAGTTTGGCATTCTTATAGCCGCCGCAAAACGGAAATACGCCTCAAAGTAATCACAATGCTGAGAAATATATAATTATAGAACAAATGTGAAGACATAATCATTAGGCACCCTCGTGAAGTATGCATGGAGTACTGACTAATATCGGAGATATTTTATACAGAATTTGGAATGTTTTTTAAAACACTTTCATCCAATCTCCTCTGAAGTTTATCTAGTTTAGGGCTACTTTTAGAACTTTATCAATACTCAGGGGTCAGCTCCACAGCCACCAACCCGTACACAGAACCCATTAAGTTTGAATTTGTTTACCCCCGTACATCTATCATAGTCGTAACATCTGTCTTTGGATCCAACTACAACTTCCTGACTAGCAATGTTGATGATGTGGGCTTGGGTTTGGTTTGGTCTCTCTTTGGTAACTCCGCTGACGTCAAGCGATAATCTGCCTGAGAGGTGAATAAACTGTGAAACGAAAGTGAAGGCATAATAAGGGGAGGAGTGTGCTACATGCATATACACATCGTTAGTCATACATTTACCTACAATACTTGGCAGCAAGTGCTAATAAGCTAAAAGAGTGCGGGTCGACAATGGACTGGGGGAGGCACATGCTTCGCTGCACGGAAAGTTTGTTTCTTAAGTCATTTGTTTATGTCAGTAATTATTAGAGGAACACCTTAACCGGGGAGAACTATCTGATTTGGCATGGGGTTTGTGGGAATTGAAGGGAGCGCTATATGGTGACCAATCAGTGAGTATCGCATTTTACTCTAGATCTTCTGCAGTTGCCTTTTCTGTCAAGAAGATGTCGTAGCCTAAATTAGTGAACACCAAAATCGTCACAGTGTTCCCTCTACTTGATGGTCTTGAGCAGCGTCTGCTGATTGCAATGCTTCAGTGATTATTTTTATTGGGTTTTCCATGATCTTGATCGGACAGCTGCTAAGGTTAACCCTCGAAAAAAATGATCATTTTGGGACTGACTGAAAAATTAACGCATTCTGATGCCCAGTCAAGCGGCGACGCATTGTCCGCCACGATTATTACGAGTATTGTGTCTTGTGTCTTGTGTCTTGTGGGGGGTATCTGGGCTCGGGGCATTCCCAGATTTCGTCACAAACTGGTTTCGCTTTCGGTTGCTGCTGTATTTGTTCTGCAATTTGCGTAGAATCACTTGGCGATGCGTGCCGCGTAGTTGTAGCCTTCTTGGCGATACATATTCGTATTCAGATTCGGATTCAGCGGTATAAAAGCTTCGGGCACTTCACAATTGCAATTTAGTTTCATCCAAGAAGCGCTCGAGATATCGTCATGGCTGTGATTCGTGCGAGTTGTGTAAGTGTTTCTGAGCCCTTTTGCTGTGGTGCACCTGCTCATTGGCTTTGCTCTCCGCTTTAGTTGTTGGTCGTCTTGCTGGTCGTCGGTCATGGTACGGCGGCACCTGCCCCTGCTCCCGTCAAGGCTGAGGGACGCACTTTTGGCCTCTTGGGCGGCGGCTTCGGTGGTAGCGTTGGGCTCAGTGCTGGAGTTGGCCTAGGCGGAGGCCTGTACAGTGGCTTTGGAGGCGGCGGCTACCCAGGTGGCTATGCTGGTGGCTATCCTGGAGGCTACGGGGGCGGATACTCTGGATATCCTGGAGGCTACGGTGGTGGCTACTCCGGCTATCCAGGCGCTGGATACTCTGGCTATGGACATCGACCCCATCATCACGGAGGATTCTATCCTGGCGGCGGCTCATACTACAACCAGGGCGGATCCTACGGCGGTCACTACAGTCAGTCGCAATACTCCAATGGCTATCACAATGGAGGCTATGGTGGTGGAGGTTTCTTCGGTTAAACGTGCCACCTCTGCTGAGACTGTGATCCATCAGCCCGCCATTATTTTTACAAGTACTCGTACCTGCCTCGCCGGAGATTGTAAAATCAAAATAACAACCGAAATATTAAGCTCAAAATCCGGTTTCTCTTGGGGGAATACATGTATCTACCATTGTCCTTGGAGCAACTCTTTTTTTTTGCGGTTCTCTCGCTGTTTAAATGCTCGCAACGAGACGTGCATAAATTTAATGGGCATAGATCCGAGATCCGAGATCCGAGATTGATGTGTGTGGCAGGGGGCATGACTAGGTCTGGGCATTTCCTGGCCATAATAAAACGATAGCAGGCAGAACCCCAAACAATTTTTGTGATTTTCGGCTAGAAATCTTGCTAGCAATTGAACCATTTCCTTATGGCCATAACGTGCACATTCAAATATGATTATACCAGGTGTTCGAAGAGTAAATGGGGTATATTGTATTTGTGCCCCTTCACTGCCGCTACCAAACGGGCGATAATCTTCTGTAGATAATGACCATATCTATCAGGTTCCAGAAATATGGTCAGATTGGATCATTATTATAGACAGAATGACAAACTAAATTTACAGTGGCTTCCCCCAAACTAACTTTACATACTCATGTACATACATATACATATGAGTACTGAGTACAAAAGATGTTTTTTTTTTTTTTCTCTCTCTCTTTATATTTACAATCTGTTTTTTTAAACAATAAGTAAATTGTATAATTAATATTCAATTAACAGAAATAGCAGTTTTCCAATGAGCCCTGCTATTATATATAACATCTTTTTAGTTTGTTGGATTTATCTATCAGGGATATCGAGAATGTGGTATCTTTTCAGTCTTCTTACTGTTAGGCTATTGTCTAATAGACTTAAGGCTAAATTATTTTCGTGGTTGTGGAGTCTGTCGATGTATTTCTTACTAGTTTTCTTTATTTCTTCTTTAATGGTTGGAATATTCAGATCTTTGTGGATGTTTGCATTAGATATGTAAAACGGATCATTGACAATGTGTCGCAAAGTTTTTGATTGGTAACGCTGAAGTATCTCAAAAGATGTGACGCGAACAAAGCTTCTCACATCGTTGCTCCTCATTTAGATTATTTTGTTTTGTTTTTTTTTTAATATTTACACCCAGCATTACTATTTTCATGAACAGCAGCTTTCATAAGTATTCGTCAAAGAGCATAAAAATAGAGAGCAAACGTTTCGGGGTTTCTTCGGATTTGTATTGCTTACATTCCAGTCTATTCAAAAAGGTTATATTTTTATGAACACATCCATACATACAATGTAGTACGAATAAATGTGTCTGAATACCGGGTGCAAAAGTTGTGCCGCCTGCGAAGCGTCTCACTTCCTTTGTGCTGCATAAATAAATACTTTAACGTTTCCAGGAAGTTAATCTTGCTTCACACGAGAGTTGGGTCTTTGGATTGGAGTCACTGGATATAGATTGAAGGAAGTATCCTGTAGAATCCACTCATTGAATCCCCAATCTTCAAAACATTTATCATATTTTCTTAGGTAATATCGGTAAAAAAATCGTTCTTATATTTATTTCCTAAGCGATACTCGTAATCACATTTTAACTACATCTCTATACATAGTAGGAATGGGTCGGATTGGATCGTCTGCTGAAGCTTATCCGTAGCTGCTGAGCTGATTCCTCGAGCGATAGGAGCCCGTTTGGTAGACTGGCTGTACCTGTCCGGTCAGCTGTTGGATGATCCCATTCACAGTGGTGGCTACGCCGCCCACCAGTTGCGCAGGCGTCACAGGCGGCTGCAAAAGAGATCGAATTAGTGTGAGAGGGAGGGACGAATAATTCATTCAAGGCTCTTCGCGACTTACCGCTCCAGCTGAATCGTAGTAGACACGATTGGGCACGGGTCGGCGCACTGGAGGCGCTGCATAGCTGGGATCCACGGCAGGATCGCTCTGTAAATCACCCGCAGCCGAAGCAGGACGAATGGGATCCGAGAGGGGTACACCGGGTACAGTCGCGGCTCCAAGCACACCCGGAGCGAAAAGCGACAGCCACGTGGCAAACGGAGCATACGGACGGACTGGCACGGGGTAGGGCACCACCGGTGGTGGTATGGGATCTGAGAGAAGACCTCCGCCAAGACCACCACCAAAACCACCGCCATAACCACCGCCGTAGTTGCGACATCCTCCCTGATAAACTTTGTACACATTCACATCGAAGAGGAAACGTCCCTGCTCGTCCGGGTCCTTCTGGCTGCCCTTGGCATCACGTCCGAAGGGTGAGCAGGGATTTCCCCCACCATATCCACCGTATCCTCCATAACCACCATATCCACCATATCCGCCGTAGCCCAAGTAAGGACGCGCCAACTTGCGGAGCTTCTTCTTGAGCAGCAAAGTCCTCTCATCGCCCACGGACTCGTCGAGTTCCTGGTTCGAGGCGCCCGCAAATTTGGCATTTTCCGTGTCCGATTTGGTGGCAGCAGCGGCCCCACTGGTGCCACTGGTGGCACTGCTCTGCCTCGATTGCCGCTGGCTCGGCGATTGGACGGTGTTGTAGGAGTACGGAGAGGGCCTTCTCCTGGGGTAGTCGTAGCTGTAGCTGCGCGGATAGGCCGCGGAGAAACTAAGGGCTCCTAGAAGGAGAACAAGCAGCAGCTGCATGTCGAGGATGTGTCGCGGATTCACTGAGTCGTTGAAGAGACTTCTGCTCGGTTGGCTGGATGGGCACGAACTATTCCTCTGCTGTGGATCATGCCCCAACTTATCACCTTGCCGCTGTGCCAAAAATAAAACAGCAACACCAATTTGGCAAATTTGTTGCTATACCCTTAGAAGGCAGCCCCAGACACTGACGATATTGCATAATGCCCTTTTTTTATTGGCCCGACTCGGCTCGGCTCGCGTTTTTCCAGCGCATTGTTTTGATATGGTAATCTAGGCCGCCCACCCAGAGCAGCAAAGCCCCAGCCCAAGCACCGGCAGGGCAGGCATCATCATAATCATCATTATTACCATCATCATTATAGTCGCATCGCCCACATGTGGCACAACAATAGCAAAAGGAAGAAGCAACACCAAAAACATGTTACACTCTGCGACTCGTGTGCATTGACCTGTGGCAGCCAACGCTTTCAGCTCTGCAGCTCTCACCCGTTGAAGTTTTTGGCCAAAAAGCGTATTTCTGCCAAAAATGTAAAAATACAAGTGGGTCAATGTCGCCTCAGCTGCCGCACTGGGAACGAACCTAATTAGTTGTGGGGGGAACTACAAATTCATCTAATATTAATCATCCAAATTTTTTGCATGTTTCTGGCTTACAAATGAATCATAGTTTGTCCTATAAATATACTCGAGCTCCTTCTCCTTTAAGCACACACTCCTCCTGCCTTCTGGTATATCATATTCAGTTTAATTGATGCACACATAAAATCGCTAGGCCTCAATGGGGCAAGTCTACCTAAGGTTACAATAAAAGTATAAACTTTAAGCTTAAAACTAGAAAAACAAAACTGTACAAAAGTGTGAATAGTAGACACAGAGATTGGAAGTAGTAACCATAGTTTAGCTTAGTATCCAGATAATAACTTAAAAGCTGAGCTGCAAAGTCTGTGCGTTGTATTTGAGCCGCCTCGCCCCTGGTTAGACAGCCATTTTGGGTTTATTCGCCTCGGCCCGCTTGCGCATCGCCCTCAAGCGCTGTGTGCAGTAGACGCGCAGAAAGATGGCAACGAAAACGATGAGAACACCAAAGATGCCCAGTGCCGACACGCGGTGGTTGTAGATGAAGCACGAGAGCATAATAGCTACGGCCTGTGGGGGCAAAGGGTGAAGCAGATAAGTGTGGTTCTGGCTAGCAGACAGTTGAGTAAACAGAGACGAGACGGGAAACGCGAACCGGGAGACTCACCTGACGCAGCGTCATAATGATGGTAAACACAACTGGGCCGAAGACATCGATTGTGTGGTAGATAAACAATTGCCCGACCGCTGAGCAAATGGAAAGCACAACCATATCAAACACGAATTTCGGATGCTACAAAAACGGAATAATTGATGTGAGGTAGGACTAAGCACAATAAACATAATGTAAATATCTACCTCTGTGGCAAAGGACAGGGAGTCCATGAATCCGCCCTGCATCGACAGCGAGGCGCCAGTGAAGATCGAGGAGAAGAGATTTACGCCGCACATCATCTGGAGGGAGGTCATGCCGTAGCTCTTGAAGAGCGAGCCCTGCCAGTTGGCCGTAAAGCTGTCAAAGACCATGTACAAGGAGAGCAGGAAGACGCCCGTCAATGTGGTCACTCCACTGGCCTTGTTGCCGTCGGCCGACCCACTCATGAAGAAGATCATGCCCAGCGAGATAAGCACGGCGGTGACATACTCGTACGATTCGTACTTGGCTTTCGACATGATCTTGCCCATTACCATGACGGGGATTATTTTGCACGACTTGGCCAGCACCTGGGTGGGAAAGTTGACGAACTTCAGCGCCTCATACTGGAACCAGGCGCTCATGATGTTCGAGAACGAGGCAAAGGAGTACTTGTAGAGCGGTGCACGGTGTCGCGTGGGTGAGGGCTGCCACTGCAGATAGATGAGGGCCACCACAAAGGCCAGCAGTCGGTTGGCAAACACCAGAAATTGCGAGTCCTTGAACTTGGAACTCTCGCCGGAGAAGTTCAGATATTTCTGTGTCATGATCTTCTCCTGCAGCACGCCCCAGGTCAGGTAGGACACCATGAGGCCGCCAAAGCACCAAAGCAGCTGCACAGCCTCCTGGGAGCTAGTGCGCTTGCCAGCGCCAGCCGACGCTGCCGAGCCTGCTGCTCTCTCCTTATCCGCTGTGCTCGCCGCAGCATCCAGTGGCTCGTAGCTGGAGTTGCCGGTGATGCACATGTTGATGGCCGTGTGCAGAAAGGTCTTGTTGCCTCTCTCGAGGTAGCCGGTGCGTGCCACATACTTGTAGATGAGATAGCCGGGCACAACGACGCAACTGTAGCCAAAGCAGTTGACCATCAGCTTCAGCAGCCAGGCATAGTCGGCACTCTGCGCCTCCACAAGCTGCGACAAGGTCACATCCTTGGTGTAGAAGCCGCCCAGCGATGCACGCAACAGGTCGGAGAAAAAGTGTATGACCAGCAGGCTGACCACGACGAAGGAGCTGAAAGAAGAGCACAAATAAATTACAAGATAAAGTAAAGAAGATGTTGCTGTTTACCCACCATATAACTAGCTCCGGCACTCGATTACTCATGGTGTATACGTGCATATCAGTTCTTCTTTTGCAGAATTCCGCTGACACGTCCGTTTCTGGATGCCAGATTGAACTTCTTACTGAGCGTTCGGCGTTCCGAGTTCGGCCCGGGGGCGAATGAATATTTTAGCCGGCAAACGCAAGTCAAGTGTCAGAGGTTCAATAACCGCTCAAACTAGTTTTTGCATAGAACAAGAACAGCAGCAGGCAGCAAAAATGTATTTTGTAGAAGTTTGTTTATACAGCCGCAGCGGAGAGTGGGGGTCGGCCGGGGATGTGTCAGATGTGCGTGCGTCGCTCTTGGCTTTGGTAAGTCTTCTGCCGCTCCAGACGGTGCGAGGGTTATGGTTATCTGGGAGTTTGGACTGCTGCTGGCCGGCAGCCAGCTCTAGGGCCAGCTGTTTAAATATTCCAATTCACGTTTCGATCAAGACACCCCCCTCCCATCGTAACACAACAAATTTTTTAAAATTACAAAAAATAGTGCGACCGCGTCGCAGTGTTTAAATATGCCGACAGACCCTCAGAAAAATACGCATTCATTAAATATACTGTAAATATACCGTAATCTTAAATCATTTCCCCCGACTTTGATCTTCTGTTCAATATTACCAGCTGGTTAGGATTCTCAGCCTTGAAACTATAATTTTATCCCATTCATCCATCATTTATCTGTGGGCTGAGAACCCTATTTGCCAGTATTATTAAATATTTAATTCAACATCTGGTTATTCGATATCCTATCATGCGAACAACTTTTTGAGTATTTTCTTGTCTTCGTTTAGTTTCTTAGCGCGTGATGTGCTTTTCGTCACCCTCTTGACCAATGCACCATTGAACCTGATTAAAAGTGATTGAACCTGATTGAAAGTGATTGAAAATCTTAAAAAGCCAAAACTAACCTTATTAAAAGTGGTTAAAAGTGACTGAACAACTTGAACAGGTAGAATGAATCTTATTCAACATGTTTAACTGAGAGTAAACAACCTTTTGGTTCCCCGGCAACCTCATGAAAATCCTTAACATTTCCAATTTGTAAGGCTGTTAAATAAAAGTTGGGGTCGCTGCCTATTTGTATTGGTTTTTATTTAATTATTTGTTGTTGCTTACACAAACAGGAAACAATTAACTTAGCTTTATTTTTACAATTAGCTCTAATTAGAAATAATAAAAATATTGAAGCTGTTTTTTTCTCCTTTTCTGTTTTACAATCCTTTTTATGTGTATTATTTAGTTTATAATAATTTGTTTAAATGTTAGTTTTCATACATGTATTATGTATGTATGCTTGTATGTGGGTATGTACACTAAAGCAGCGAGGGGCAAGGAAGGGCGGGGCGGCGGCGACTTGGGGGCCAAATTATCCTGAATATATATCGCTATATAAGAAGTTGATATTTGGCGTTGTCGCGACTGCGCTCACATTTCCACATTAACTTTGTATGTTACATTCAAAATTTAGTTAATTCAACTACTAAATATACATGTTACATAATGCTTTTGCTGCTCTGTTGTTTATATATATTTTTATTATTTTTATTTAATTGTATTTGTTTAATGTATAATTCCGTTAATTGTTTTTACGTTTTCCTTGCTGTCGCTTTAGTTTACAATTTTCGTTAGAATTCTTTCTCATTTTATGTACATAAAAACAAAAGGAACTATATCTTTCAGTCTTTTTAGTGTGTGTGTGTGTGTGTGTGTGTGTGTGTGTGTGTTGGTGTATGTGAGTCTGTAAATGTGTAGTGTGGCTGTGTCGATGTGCATGTGTAGAATATCTATTGTTTCATTATGTATATTATATAGCATATTACATATTATAATTAATTTAATTTAGTTTTTATTTTTTTGTGTGTGTTTTTTTAATTTTATTTTTTTTAATAGTTTTTTTACTTCATTTTTCAGTGTAAATATCGCTTGCTTCCCAGTTTTGTTTATATAACTAGCACTAGTGTTTTCCTTCTTTGTTTTTTGTTTTGTTTTAATTATAGTTTAAGTTGTTTATTCTGCACATTTTTTTTTACAATCTAAGCAATTTGTATAATTCATTTAAATATTTAGTGTGTATCCGTGTTTCCGCTTTTGCATCTATTAAAAAAGACAAACAAAAAGACACATAAAAGCAGAATAAACCTTTGCACATGCGCTCTCTGCTTTCGTTTTTACGTTGCTTTGCTTTTGGTGCTTTTGCTTTTGCTACTGCTTCCTTCTTTTAGTTATTAAATATATATATTTTTTGCGTTTATAGTTAAATATAATAATATAAAGAGCGAAGGCAAATATCGAATACTTTTGTTGTTGATTTTTTCATTGTAAAATTCCATTTGTTGCTGTTGTTAATGTTGCTGTTCTGGTTCTGGTTCTGGTTTTTTATGTTGCAAAAATTGTTTTATGGAGAATGTTGTGTTTGTGTGTGTGGTTTCTCGCAATGAAATGTGGGGGCTATTGGATTTATTGGGTTTGTTGTTTTTTTCGGGTTTCTTTTGCTATAATTCATAGAACTGTCAGGATAGTACACTCAGCAAAACATATCACGTTCAGTTCTTAAATATGTAGGAGCCCCCCATATATATGTAAATATATATGTTTGTGGGAGGGTGTGGGTATGGGTATGGGTGTGTAAGTGTGTGTTTGTATTTGTGTGTAATTGTGTATATAATTTGTCTATTGTTTCGTCTATTCTCTATTGTTGTAAAAAACAAAATCCGTCCGGTTTCTTGTTCATATTTGAGTTTATGGCGTATGGCAGATAATATTCTCTAGGATTATCTAGATGCTTCTCTTGTTGTACGTGGTGTGGGTCTATGGATGTGTGTGTGTGTGTGTGTGTGTATAGGTGTATGGTGTTGCTTTACTTTCATCTATAGTTAGTACATAAAATGCGTTGCTTTTGCCTTTCGTGTAATAAATAGCATTAAAAACGACCAGCAGATTGTATACAATTACTATTTATGCTTATTTAGTATATATGTATATGATGCATCAGTTACTTAAGCTCTCAGTTTTTTTTTTACATTACGTTATGGTTTTCCTTATTCTCCTCTTCGCCATCTCTCCGAAGCTTGGCTTCAACAGAAATTAATTTAGAAAATAAAAGAAATTGAACAAAAGTGCTTTGCGCCACGGCCTCTCGCTTGATGTTTACACATACACATCCTCTCGCTCGCTCGCTCGCTCGCTCTCTCTCTCTCTCACTCACTCTCTTTGTAACTCGATTCAAAAATTTACAAAATTCTATGTACAGACGACAATAAATATTACAATTATGAAATGTAAAAAGGGAGAAGAATCAGAGAAATGTATAAGAAACAATCAAGCAACACTTGGTAAAACAAAGAGAAAAATATATAGAATCGATCAGTATCAGTATAAATATAAATATAAATTTAAAAATCCAAGCATTAAATTTTAAATATAAAAAAACGCACTAAAAACATTTCCTTGCATGCAGTAAAATTAGTTGAGTACATTTAGATTTAGTGTGTGTGTGTGTGTGTTGGTGTGGGGGAGGGATTGGGATATATGGTACATAAATCTGTAGATTGGTTTGGATCTCTGGGTGTACAATTATAACTAGCTCTAGCTAAACTCAGTGAAGACAGTAGTTTTGTATTTTGTATTGCTTGTTTCTTGTGTAGTTTCTATTTCCGGTGTCCGTCTCCGGTTTCCGGTCTCTTGTTTCTGCTTGTACATTTTTCCATATTTTTGTTTGTTTTGTTTTCTCTGCTATTTTCTGCATTTTCGATTGAACGCGTTTTGGTAGGTACTAAAAATTATCATGATAATTATTAAATATACATAATTAATGTATAAATGTATAAGTAGTATTTATGTATGTATGTATGTAGTAGGTAGTGGTTCATAATTCAATAATTTATAATTGGTAATTGGTAGAATTTGTATGTCTATTTAAACGGTACTTAGGTTGGTTGGTTGTTGGCTTTTGTACTTTTGTTATTTGCATGTAGGACTTGTTTTTGCTTCGCTTTCGCTTTTCTATCTGTTTGTTTGTCTGTTTTGTTTTTGTTTCTTGTTTTTGTTTCAGTTTCAGTTTCTGTATTGTAACGGCTATAGTTTCATTGATTTAAACAAAACAAAAACTGTCGTGTGTAAATACTAAACGAATACGTTAACATAAATAGGCTTAATCCAAAAATGATTACAATTTATACATATATGTACGTGTGAGGGGGGGTTTGATGTTGGAGGAGGAATTGTTAATCGAAGCTAATTTACAGTTCGCTTCCATCCATCCATCCTCATTCCCCGCTCTATTTACACTCTCCTTTCTTCTTGGACTACGCTTCACGTCCTATGAACCCATTGGGTGGCGGTGGCCGCGTCGAACTGCTCCCCTGCCTCAGCCAGTTCTCCTTCAGCAAATTCGATACATTACTGGCCGCCGCCGCTGCAGCCGCAGCGGTTGCCGCTGCAGTTGGAGACTTCCGCGTTTGGCTGACGCTTCGACTGCGTTGCGGATTTCTGGGTGCCCGCTGCCTGGGCCTGCTCAGCGGCATGCGCTCCATTTTGATGTGCTCCACATCCAAGTCCTCGTCCTCATCGTCCTCGGCATCGTCCTCCTCCAGGTCATTGTCCTCATCGGAGCTGCTCAGACGGGCCTGCGGTGCATTCATGAAAGCGTAGCTCGGATTGCTGCTTATGATCAGCTCTGGCTCGCTCATCATTACATAATTGGGATTGTCATTTGCCCCCGCTTTGGAGTTGGAGTTTCCCTGACTTTGACTCTGACTCTGTCCCGGACCCTGTCCCTGTCCCTGTCCTGGTGTTGGATGCATCATCTCGTAGTTGGGATTTGGACTGCTGGTGGTCAATATTGTGGCCTGTTCGCTATCCGTTCGCTGGCTCCACGAGTTACCCGGCGACCTCGTCGTGCCACCACTCGTTATCGACTCGTCCAGCTGCCTGTAGTTGGGATTATCGCTGATAATGGTCGAGGCTCCTCCGCTGGGCGTCGCAGTGGGCGTGTAGAAGCGCGGTGTGCCCGTGTAACTGCCCGCAGAGCCACTGCCGCCGCTCTCGATGGTGCCCAGATTGCCCATGGCCACCGGGTGGCTGGTGAGGTTCGAGTTGCTGCTGGTGCTGGGCGCATTCGAGACGCTGCTCTTGTAGCTGGCATTGCTGCCGCTGCGCTTGTGGTTGAACAGATGACGATTGAAGATGTTGGCTCGGTTGCGCAGCGTATCGGCCACGACTCGCTTGAGGCTGGGATAGCGGCCGCCACCGCCGCCGCCGCTTGTTCCCGTGTGGGAGCTGGCATTGGAGCTGGCCGCTGAGGCCGTTGATGGCTGCAGCGAGGAGCCGCCTCCCCCAATGCCAATCACATCGTCGGGCATGGAGCTGCTCATGATGATGGGCTGGCGGGATTTGCGCGGCAGTAAATGCTGCTCCCCGCTGAGCTTGCCGCCACCGCCTCCGCCCGTGCTGCCGCTTCGGCTCGTGGG